CTAGAACCTAAGAGTGGTTGTAAATAAACTTGGTTATTTTTTTGGCTTTAGTGAGTGCATTTTTATGTTGAGGTAATTCCCCAAGCTTCTCAAGAATCAGATCTATGCAATATGCAGCACATGGAGTCCAGTACAAATGTTTCCTCTTCTCCATAAGTTTATTACCTGCAGCCTTATAAGAACTTGCATTATCTGTCACAATTTGTACAACAAAATGTTCTCCAACCTCATCAATAATGCTATCTAATAATCCAAATATAAACTCAGCATCTTTGACCTGATCAGATGTTTCAATTGACCTTAAAAACACAGTACCATAACAATTATTAATGAGGATGTTGATCAGACTTCTATGTTTGATATCAGCTACCCATCTAGCATAATTGTTAATCCTATTTGGGTCCAAGTCTTCTTAATTTCTTCTATGCTTTTATCAGTGCTTTCCAACTCCTTCAAAATCCATGTTCTTAAATCATATATGGTTGGAGGTTTGAACCCTCTCCTAAATGCTCCAACTGAACGAATCATGTTGTAATAAGCAGGTGATGTTGTAACATTAAATGGAATTGCATTTTCGTAGAAGAATCTGTCTATATCCTTACACACTCTTCTCCGCGCCTCCCTTGCATTTTCTGGGGCCATCTTCTGTGTAGTAGAAGGCCTATCCTTTGATGTGTCAACCATATAATGATCCATAGGCCCTCTAGCACCCCTAGATGAAATGGGCTTCATAGAAGAAGATGAATCCCTAACGCTGCGCTCACTCCCGTAGTAAGATCCAGCATCAACTCTATCCTCAAATTGCTTCTGTGCAAGATGTTTTGATGTGGTAGGCTTATTCATGTATGACTTTATCTCATCCCTTACAGCATCAGGAACTTTGGAGCATGGAGCAACATTCTTGTGAGAACCTGAAAGGTGTTCCTTCATCCTAGTCACACCTCCTTTCACAATTATATCAACGTAATTACATTTGAGATAGACATATGTTTTATCACTGCCTCCTACATCCATCTGAGTGTTATGTTTCCATGCTGGATCTTTCTATGACCTGATGCAGCTTTATCCTTATTTCTGACCATTCTGATTGAGCAAAAATAGAAAGTGAACGAGTTCTTACTAATCTTTTCTATGACCTGATGCAGGTCGGAGGAGACAGCAGCCTCGGACAGAAGCGGGCATCGTTCGGACCGAGGAGACAGCAACCCAACTCGCAGTCTCGCAGTAGAAGAAACCTCCAAGCAAAAGGCAAAGAGAACAACTCTCGTTTAGGGTTTAATATGTGTGCTGGATGTGATCAGTATTAAATAATGTCGAGCCGTCGATAAAGCAGAACACTGCGTATTCTATGCGTATTTCTGCGTATGATATGCGTATTATACGCGTATGGTCTGCGTATGTAAGACGTAATATATGCGTATTCCATGCGTATTTTATAAAACTTCTTCTAAAGTATTTGTAAATTAGTAGTTGTAGCAGCTGTAACTTAATGTATGATTTTGTATTAATAATTAATAAAACATATGATTTTTTGGGTATAGTATGAATATTGGACGTGTTCAATATTATGTTGTGCGTAATCTATGCGTATATTATGAGTAATATATATGTATACCATGCGTTCACCATGCGTATTATGTGTGTACTCTCTGCGTCAACATTGCTTATCTTAAAAAATAAAAAATAATTAAAAGAACATTTAATAGAATTTGATAAATATAATTTTAATGACTATGTACAATATAGAAAATATAAGAAAATTAAAAGAACATTTATAACAAATACAATTTTTACAAGAGAACCTATATACATTCTATTAAAAATATCCATAGAAAATCATGCGAATGAGTATGTCGAAATGAATTGCTGGAATGCTTGCTTTATGGTATTGTATTGTCTAATATAAATCATCTTTGACAACCAAGCTTTCCATTCATTACTGCGATACTTATTATCCTCCCATGTTCCTGATGTTAATAACTTGTAAACATAAACATCTCTCTCATGACCAGTAATGAATGAATAAGTATCGCAGTAATAAATGGAAGGCTTGGTTGTCAAAGATGATTTATATTGAACAATACAATACCACAAGGCAAGCGTTCGTGCATTATATAGTGGAAATTTTAATGTTGAACAATAGTAAATAATAAATTATAAATAATGGCTCATAAAAATTCAACCAACCCTCCCAACCATATCCGCCACCCGTCAGTCCACAGCTAACGAAAATTATTATTCATGTCACGGCCTCTCAGTCCATACTAAATGTAAGTAACATAAAACATTTAATAGAATGTGTGCGTGTTTTATGCGTACTCTATGCATACTATGTGCGTATATTATGCATACTTAATGCGTATTTTGTGCGTTCGTTATACGTATTATTTAAAAACGTTTCAAAACCATTTTTAAAACCATTTATAAAATTATTTTTTTCTTTAAAACAAATAAGAAATTCAAATACTAATCTTTAAACGCAAATGCCAAACACAAAATTTTTCAAACATCATATTTCTTATTTCTCTTCCTCAAATACAATCCATCAAGAGCCATAAACCCTTTGTACTTGTTCAAATATCATATTCAAGACTAGAAAATGAAATCATAAATGTGAGCCATCAACGTGTTAAGCATATTCCTCATCATTTTAATGTAAGTAACTTAAAAACAAAGATAGATATTAATTAAAATATTTAATATATTTTGATAAATAAAATTTACTGCATAATGTGTGCGTGTATCATGCGTACTATGTGCGTCGTTTGTGCGTACGATGTGCGTGCGAAATGCTTATTTTGTGCGTGCATAATGCGTATTATTTAAAAACCTTTCAAAACCATTTGTAAAATTATTTTTTTCGTTAAAACAAATAAGAAATTCAAACACTAATCTTTAAACGCAAATGTCAAACACAAAATCTTTCAAACATCATATTATGGGTATTCTATGCCATTTATCTGCTTACAATATGCGTATTATGTGCGTACAGTATGCATACACAATACGTACAATATGCCTAATTTATGCGTATTATCTTTTAATAAGTTATTTTTTAATCAAATCAATGTAAATAATATTTATACACAAAATTGAAAAATATATTCTTCAGAAATAAATATTTATACACAGAATGATAATAAACATTTATAAACAAACTGTTTAAACATTTATACACAGAATCATTTATACATAGAAACATTTATATACAGAATGATAAATATTTATACATAATGAAAAACTGTTATTTTTTTTAAAGTTCTACATAATATTCATATGCCAATTATGCCCTATACTTTGGCATGTCTTCTTGCCAATTTGTACTATCAGTCCAATCAGTGTTGCCTTCAAGACTTATTCTTTCCATTTATTTACAGACATACATTCCGCAATCTATAGAGTTATCCTGTTTTGGTGCACCTTTAATGGTAGAAAGCTTCCATTTTCTGATATCACTATCAAAAGCTCCTTTCGTGTTAGAGTATAATGCTTTAAGTTGAAAAATACGTAGAGCAAGAATTAGTTATGTAAATTTTTTAAAAATTGAAGAATTCATGTTCATCAAACACTTATGATTTTTGGAACAACAAGCCTATGCTCTTTGACGCGGTGGGGCAAAGAGTCATAAAATTTCAACTTTTGTTCTTTCAGCAAACCAACCAGCAGGGTAATGTGCGAGGATTCAATGATTGGCTGTAATAAAATGTTGTTTGAAGAAACAGAAAGCTCGATTATATGGTCGATTTGCAATTTGGCCAATTTATCCCTCTGTTATTCTGTAAGTGCAAGTAGTAAATGTAAGTATCTAACTATGTAAAAACTAAGAAATGGATACTCACAATAACGCATATTTCATAGCAGCAAATTATACAATCACATACAGTACACACATCATAAGCACTGATTACGCATCGTGTAAGCATAACATATGCACAAGAGCATACATTGCAAAAAGCATGACAGCAAATTATATGCACGCAGAAGGTATGCATAACATAAGGGTCACGCAGATTACACGCATATCATACGCACAACATACACAGTGCGTACGCACAACATATGCATAGATTACTCGGTGCTTAAAATTTTGTTAGGGTTTAGGTTTCAAATTTCAACATAATTTTGAGAACCAATGCATACGCATAAAATAAGCATAAAATACGAAGATCTTCAGAACCTTGAACACCAACGCATAGCATAACCATAAAATACGGAGTACGGAACAGAAAATATTACATTAAGTTACCTTTCTCTTTGGGGGTGACGACATCTTAGAAGAAACTGAGTAAAGAATGCTTGAAATTGCTCCGGAGTGAATGCTTAAAAGTTCGAATGTTTGCTGGAGGCCTGGAACTTGAAAATCGATACGTCGCCTCTGTCATTCGACCTTTACCAGGGTTTAAATGTTGTTGCCTCGTCGACATCTCACTAGGCACGCCACGTCGGTAACTGGGGTCCGAACTGGAAAAAAAAAACTTTAGGTTAATTTTTTTAGGCGCCTTAAATATATGAGGCGAAGCGCACCTCAGTAAACTTGAGGCGTAAGCCTCATAAACTGAACTTATTGCGTGGGCTTTGAGGCTTAAATGGACCAAATTGCACTGAGGCGCGCCTCAAGGCGCTCCTTTTATTGCGCAATTTTAAACGTTGGTTTATTGATCCTTTGAGAGGAGTTAAGGCTTCGACCTTTCTTTCTTTGCGATGCGAGTTTGATCTTCCCAATTTGATGGTTTAGTGGTGTGTTGTTTGTATGCAAAGCCGATTGTGATGTACAATGACTTACGCCAGAGTCTTGGTCTTCTTGGGGGTGACCATCAAGATTCTCCAGCTAAGGGGGCTCGCACTCTGCCCTTGTTACGGAGCTTGTTTCATTAGAGGTAGTGAGAGTCTCCGGTCAAGACTGTTCTCTATCTTCGTCTGAGATGTGAAAACCTTGCCGACTAATAGGCGAGCCGTGCGCTACTTTTGTGGAGCTTGTCACCAAAGAGGGGACAATATTTTATAGTGGCATGATGCCTATAGTTGCATATAGTGTTGAGGTACGTAATACTCGAGCTCCAAGTTTTAGGAGCAAATTAATTTTTCTTCCTAATATTAGCCTTGAAAAATGAAAGGTGCCTCAAGAGTATCATGCAATGAAAGAATATCATAGAGACTTGAAAGATAAATATTAAATCAAAATTTTGTTGGCTACATTTTATTGATTTCAGTGTTGGGTAATAAATAGACCATTGACAAACAAGTTGAATGTGAAAAAAAAAGAAAAAGAAAATTAAGATGGATGTGTTGTAAAAATAGGAAGATTAGATCGATAAATGATTATATATACTAAATGGTACTAGTAACATCTATTGAAGTATTGAAAAATAAATTAGATGGTTTGGGCATAGACATTAAAGAGTAGATGTACCAATAAGACCAATAGATAAAATTAATATAAAAGGATTAGAGAAAAAAATTGGATTCGACGGAGATATATAAGTTGTGCAAATTGATTTGTGTAAAATAAGTTCGACAACTGCAACACTGATGAATATATAATGATGATTCATAAAGCTAACCTCAAATAGTTGGAATAAGGCTAATGATGATGATTCTGTGATACATCATGTTTTGTTATTAAATTTTTACTCTTTTAATTTCTTTTTTTATGCATGTAAATGTATCTAAAAAATTTGCTTTATACCTTGTCAATAATGATGGCTCTACAATACAATCATGAAATGCTATTATTTAATATTTACTTTTTGTTTTTCACTTTCTTTTTGTATTTGTAAACTTGAAAATTTATCCAACAATTTACTTTAACTATTTTAATGTTTTATTTTGCAGGTTTAAAATGTTCTTTGAATGATGTTTGCCTATGAATTGACAGGTCCTTGGACTCATTATTCTACTCAGAACCTCGTTTTGTCACACATATAGATGATCCTGCTATTTCTGCCCTTACTAAATTCTACTCCAAGGTCTTCCCCCCAAGTAATACACCAGGGGTGTGCCTACTTGATCTTTGTAGCAGCTGGGTAAAGCTTTTTTTAGGCTCCACTATTATTTTTCATTTCTAAAGAATCTTCTCCATCTCTATCTGTATAACCTCCACCTATTCTTTGATGTTGTTGCAGGTCTGCCATTATCCAGCAGGTTACAAGCAAGACAGAATTGTAGGGATGGGAATGAATGAAGATGAGCTGAAGAAGAATCCGGTATCTCACAAAAAATTTCTAGTTAGCGGCTAATTTACCATAAGTTTTATATTTTGAAGAAGTTTTAGTGACGAGCGAACCGTACATTGTGATATATGAAAATTAAACGATGGCATTATCATTTAAAATTCTGTTTATTTTCCTTAACAATTAATTATTGTGTAGTACTTTTTTTTTTATATTTCTATTTTTTTGAGTATAATGAAAATAATTTTTTACTTGGTTTCAGTGGCTATCTATTTGTTTATTTACTTAGTATTTTTTCAGGTTTTAACAGAATACATTGTACGAGACCTGAATGTGAACCCCAAACTTCCATTTGAAGATAATTCATTTGATGTTATAACTAATGTGGTATGTTTTAATCCACTTTCTTTATTGTTTCAAGACATTTTATAGGCTCATGTTTTCACTTAAATCCTTTTATCTGATCGAGTTCTCTCTTGTATTGACAACTACCAGACAAAACTGCCCGAATGAATGCATCTGTATTATTGTACTAATGGTAGAGTTGTTTTTTTATATTGGAAATTCATCTGACTTCTGAAGAGTGTAATATTATAAAGCCACCAGGGGGGCTGGAAACTTGTGAATTCTTAGAATGATGGATGATGGTGGCATCTAAGTGAATTGAACAGAAAGGAGAACTTAATTGGGTAGAATGTGCCTACTGAATAGTTATCTGTATTCTCGTAGTAATAGTAGAGTAATTTTTTTATTCTTGAAAATTCATGCGACCTCTAAAGAGTGTAATATTGTAAAACCAATAGATGGTCTGAAGCCTTGGAAAATCTGAGAGCGGTGGATAATGGTGGCATCTAAGTGAACTGAGCAGAAAGGAGAACCTAATTTAGTAGAGTGTGCTTATCATGAAGTTTAAACTTGTAGAGAATGCACATCTACTTATCTGTTACGTTTGCGGGGGAGCCAGGTGCCTGATTTTGTGAAATGCATAACTTTGCAGGGTTAGAAACCCTGTAGCCTGTAGCGTGTTTTTAGTTTAACGCCTTTTGGATTAAGCACCTTTTTGGACTATTTACTTCTTAAAGTACAAGTAGGGCCACCCGTCTTGTAGAACTCCAATGTTCCACCAGTCCATCTTTAGTTTTTGACTTTCATCCATGCCATTTGTAGGTTTATTTTTTCCATTGATTCAGTTGTGTATTTAATTTTCAAAGTCAAGTAGTATGGATTTCAATAGGAACTACGTAATATAATATGGTTAAAGCTAGTTTGCAATATTTAAGAGGCAATGATGTCATATTTATGGTCATTATCAGTTTTCCATGTTTCCAAGTTAAAATGCAAAATGTTATTGTTTTAGGATAACCGTCTTGGTTTGTAAAATCGTTTAGTGCATTCCACTTGCATTAGTATAGATTGTAGTTCTATTGCTTATGCAAACTTATTTTTTTTGTTCATACAACTAACATATATTTTCTTGATTACTGCTGATACATTGTTGATGCTGAGTTTGTTGTGTTGAAAAATGAATTTCTACTTGTGCTTTGGAGATTGTAATTACATGACTAGAGAAGTCTGATGGTTATAATTTTTTGACATGAAATCTTCCTTTCTACTCTGTTAAATGTATACAAACTATGATAGTTTTCTATGACTCCATTAAATGTATACAAGCTATGATAGGTGTGTATGGCTGTCATAAGGATTGTATAATAGGTATGTGTGACTGCCGTAAGAATTATATAGTAGGTATCTATGACTGTCGTAAGGATTGTATAATAGGTATGTATGCTTGAGATAGGGATTAAAAAAAAAAAAAAAAAAAAAGGTTGAGATAGGGATTGTATAATAGGTCTGTATTATCATAGTCAGCTTCTTCATTCTATTTTTAATGAATATCCTTGTATATACTTTATACTAGTGTAGTATGATATTTTGAAGGAAAATCCTCATCATTGTAACGTGGTATTAGTGCCTTTGTAGCTTGGTGAGACCTGAGTGTTTTCCATCTCGACTTGGCTTTAGGTTTTGCTTATCTCATCTAACCATTTTCTATTTCTTTCTTTCATCGCTGTAGTTCGTGGTGTCATTGGCTTCAGGTTTTCTCAATGCATTATTTATGGTCAAATAAAGTGAATAATTTTCTATTATGGTTCATTGCATAATCACATGCTTGGAACTAATGCTGTTACAATATGGCTGTCGAGTTCAAGGCCAAAAACTAGTTGAGGGATCTATAGAATTTTAGCAAGTGCTTTTAAAAAGATGAACCAACATGAAATGCTATCTATACGTTAGGGTCCTACTTGTAATTTACAGACGGACATCACTGTGGTGTTTCTAAAAGTCTGAACCAACATGATGAATTGCTATCTATATCTTTGTAGACATTCTTTTCATAAACTCTTTGTTAAATCTTATATATATATATATATATATATATATATATATATATATATATCATAGATCTCAAGTGTGGTTGTTTTGTCCTACTATTACCCAACGAGTTATTTAAATTGTCCGCTCATTGAACAAAAAAGATGCATATTATGATACCAATACTTGGCATTTTTTTTTTCACACACAAAATAGCTTTCAATGTATCCTATCACTTGCTCTTATTCCTCCTGCTCATACTCTAGACGATCTATGTCCTGTTGATTATGATATTCTTGATTTAACAATCTACCGCACAAGAATTTTTGGCTAATCAATTTGATTACTCTTCCAACGCTGTACTCATGCCAACACCAACCAGTTAAAGGCCTTATTTTATTCTAAACTGAATTTCTAGCATTAGACTACAAGGGTATGATATCTTATTTCTTTCTGCTTTGCTATCTCATCATGGACCTTCTGTGTTTGCTAATCCACTTATGTTGTTTGGCAACGTACTATCTTTGAAGAGTTGCAAGCTTTAGAATAGATTATGACTTAGAATCTTGTTGATTTTCCTTCAAACAGAACAACAATTAAGTGTAAGTGGACCTTCAAAGTGAAAACCATATTAACTTGTTTGTTGAGTGGTACAAAACTAACTTGTTGTCAAAGGCTACAATTAAGTGTATGATATAGATTAGAAGGAGACTTTTGCAATAGGTTCTCGACATGCCTTAGTGAGAACTTATCTTATTCTGTCACTGCAATAACATGGTGGGAATTGCATCAAATGGACGAACAAAATGCTTTTTCGAATGATGATTTACAATAGTATTTTTATTTAAAAACGATACCAGGGGTTTGCTCTTTTCTCACATTAAATATATCACCATAAGAAAGTCCTGTACAAACTCAAGCAAGTGTGAAGAGCTTGGTTTGTAGAATTCAGCTCCACAATTCTCTTATTTTCCTTTCAACGAAGTAATTGTGACACAACTTTGTCCTTTCAGAAAAACAACAATATTGTTTCACTCCTTAATGTTGATGATATGGTAGTTACTAGAGATGATGCTTTAGGCTTATCCATACAAAAAGACTAATCAATTTTTTTAAGATGAAAGAGTTGGGTAATTTTCACAAATTTGTAGGTCTTGAAGTCCACCTCAAGCTTTCAAATTGATTCTATTCAAGTTAAACATGCTACCAATGTTATTGATCATGCTTGTCTCATTGATAATAAAATAGTAAACATTTGAGACGAGCCAAATTACGATTTGTTGATGGAAAGCCATTATAGAATCCTGCATTTTATTGTGAGCTTGCAGGCTGAATTATTAATGGAACTATTAATCTATATATCGCCCATGTCATTTATGTTGTCAGTCAATTCATGGCCAATTCTTAGGCGAGGCATTATTCTGTTCTTCAAATTCTGTACCTAAAGTGTCATCTACACGTACATTGGAGTTCTCCTATGTTCTAGTGCTTCCATGTGTCTTCAAGCATCTTGCAATGCTTGGGAGGCTGGTGATGTACATGATAAAAATCGGCCATTGGATATTCTATATTTCTTGGTAACTCTTTTGATCTCTTGATATTGCAAAAATTAAGAAGTAATATCAAGTTCAAGCATGGTGTTGACCTTAACACACAAAAAAAGAAAAAAAGGAAAAGAAAATACCTTCAAAAAACCTGCTCAAATCCTGCTGAAATCCCGCTGAGATACTGTGCATTTGACGCCTCTCCTATCTCTTCCCGTACATTCTATAACGATAGCTCATCTCAATCCACACTCTACTCACAATGATAAAATGAAGAGGAAATGAAGAGTGTTGTTTCTTCTTCGACACACAAACTGTTAAGAGAGTTGCTACTTAGCTTTTGCATGTTTTACATTTCTTGCAACTTGTATAGTTTTGATTATTTAAAATATTATTATTATTTTCTCCTAACACTTTTTTGGAAGAATTGTTTTTACTCTTGTGTGGACTAACATTTCAGAATAATCGAACTCCAGACTAATGAAGACTTGAAATCAAATTCAGCATAAGATAGTTTATAAATTGAAGTATGTATTTTTCAATTTATTGAGTTTGAGAGAGTGTAATTGTAATTGAGTAACTTAGCGCACACACACACTTGGGGAGATATTTAAAAATAAAAAAATTTCTTATACTGATCGTACGAGACGAACCATGTTCGTACGGGACGATCATGTCAGTTATACCCCTCGAAGAGCAATGGAATGAACAGGAAGTGAGAAAAATTTTCTAAGTCCTAATCGTTTAGACGAATTTTCCTATTCGTCCATGGACGATGTCCTCTGGATTCTTAGTTTGAACTATTCGTCCAGACGAAGTATACCATTCGTCCCTGCACGATGTCCTCTGGATTCTCACTGTATTGATCGTCTAGAAGAAATATACCATTCGTCCCAGGACGATGTCCTCTGGATCCTTGAATTGAACGGATCGTCCAGACGATTCACCCCATTTGTCCCAGGACGATATCCTCTGGATCTTTAAATTGAATAGATCGTCCAGATGATTCACCCTATGCGTCCCTGGACGATTAACTCTGGACACATGACTTGAACTAATCGTCCAGACGAATTCCTATATTCGTCCCAGGATGAAGTCCTCTGTTCCTTGAAAATTTGGACCGTCTTGCAGTTTCGTCCAAATGAACCTTTGATATAATTGTTCGTACCAGACAAACTTAGTTCGTATGGGACGATGATCGGGTACGAAGTTATTCGTACCAATATACATTGGGTTCGTACGATATAGTTTTTATACTATTCGTACAGGACGAAATCACGATCGTACGGGGCGATCGAGTGCGTACATAATTGAAAATTAGCAATTTTTGGACGGTTTTTCGTGTCTTTCCTATATAAGGTCCACTTAAAACTGTCTTATAATCTTTTTGGTCTTTGGTCTTTGTGCTTACTGAAAGAAGTGTGAAGGAGAGAGTGTTTGAAGAAGAGTTTTTACCATTGGAGCGTGAAGGATTCACTTGGTACTCAAAGGTAAGGATCTCAACTTTGTGAATTGTAATTACTTCACTTTTTTCTCTTGTCCTTCTAGATTTTTCTTAAGAAGATTTTTCAAGGAGATCCGGTTCTCTGCCGACACTTGGTGAAGTGTGAAAAGACGAAAGGTTCTCTTCCTACACTTGGAGAGTGTGAACAGCGAAAAGGTTCTCTGCCTACACTTGGAGAGTGTGAACAACGGGAAGGTTCTCTGCCTACACTTGGAGAGTGTGATAGGACGGAAGGTTCTCTACCTACAATTGGAGAGTGTGAACAGCGGGAGGTAGTCTGCCTACACTTGGAGGGTATAGAAGGACGACGATTCTGTGCCGCACCGGGTAGTGGTGGAAGAGAGTTTTGTGTAGGCTTCTCTGCCTTGCTGTGGGGGCAAAAGGAGAGACACTATTGATATTAGTGCAATACTCGGAGGGTGCCTCTGGAGAGTGGATGTAGATCGTATTTGACCGAACCACTATAAATCTTATGTCTTTTTTATTTTCCGCTGCTTTTCTTTTTTACTTTACTTTTTCTGTTGATCTGTGGTTGAAAAATCTTTTTACAAAAAATTCATTAAAGTTTTTATCAGTTTAAAAATTAAAGAGGGAAATTTTTTAATTATCAATTCACCCCCTCTTGGTTAGCCGCTGGGATATAAGTTAGGTCTAACAACCTAATTCATATTGAACAAATTTCAACTCAAACTTCACTGCCTGCTCTGAATCCATGTAGCCAACCTCAATCCCCTTTGTCTCAGCCGAATGCTTTCCTAGCTAGTTCCTCCACTTCTATCTCATAGCAGACCAACTCCACTTTAACCAGCGTCGGGTTCCCTGACCACATCCCCGTTCATCCTCAACCAAACACAACCCAGCTCGTCGACCTCCATCTTTCTCCTATCTCCAAATTGCGCTAGCTAAGCAGCTTTCGTCGCCTGCTATTCACATGAGCTCGACCTCCACAGATGCACAAAGCCGACCAATCCCCATCTACAATCCTAATCCTTCCGCCTCCTACTACAGTGATCTCCTCACCCAATTGAAAGCCTTAAATGTATCCTTCCTCTTTGCAAGTCGATCGACCTCACAGCCATAGGTGCAGACCCCATCCGTAGTAAACAACTACAGATCACTGATAGGCTTATTTGCAAACTACAGAAGACAAGATGAACTAAACATCACTGTCGATGCGCAATAAATGAAGTATAATGCCATGCCACCAGATCCATAACATTCATACAAGGGGGCAGAAAGCGTTCACAGGCCTGTCAAAGAAGTTCGCATATCTTGCCAATAAGTGTTCAGTGTTGTAGGACAGTCTTTGTACAACAACAAGCAACCCATAATGCAGCGTTACGCCATCAAATCCGTAACATACATACAGGCAGATAGAAGGCATTTGCAAATGGTAAAACAAAATCCTGCACTCTTCAGTGATAGTCACTTGCCTAGTTGACTACAAATAAATGTTACATGAATGCCCTTCATGTATTAAAATATGAATACTCGCATGGGCCATGACGAGCACATTGTAAGAGGATACGTGGCATTAGAGGATGCTGCGTAGGTCAGGAAATGAACTTAAGCTCGACTCCGATCCTTCTATGTGGATAGATAGGATTCGATATGACTCGAACTATCAAACAAATATACGGTCATGGTTTAGACCGAGACATTTTCTTTTTACGTTCATATTAAGTCTTCAAGGTCTCTAACAAAGAAAATTCATTAATAGAAGCCTAAAGCTGACGAAGAACTCGATCCTCTGTTGGCAAGTGGACAGAGTCGACAAAATTCACCCGACAAGATAAAAATCGTCCATAACCATGATAATGGTCGTGTTGATAGAAAATTTCATTCGGAGGGGATCCAAAACATTCAAAATGTATCCCAAATTCTCAAAACATTCAAAAAACTCAAAAGTCACCAAAATTAATGTTTAAAAATGAAAAAAATCACCTAAATACTTAAATAAAAATTTATTCACACTCCGCAACAGTTTGTCAAGGTGGACAAATTTGAAAATCACTGCAGTTCACAAAGAGAAAAAGTTTGATTGAGAATATCGCTAGGATTCATTCCTAAATCATCTCTTGCCAATTAGGACGTGGCATGAGTCCTTTAACCGGTGATTTTGGCTCCAAATGACACCACAGGTAAACAATTATGATCGTGACCCTTTGACTCGGTGATTTTGCCACCACATGACATCATTATATTACAGTCATGGTCAGAGCCTGTATGTTCTTCAATGGTGCTAAATCATTGAGTACTGAATCAATACTATATGATCGATAGGGCACAAAGCCTCTGTTAGCTAAGATTGATTCAAATTTATTCCCTTAGACAAATATTCACTCTAGGTCTACAAAATATCCTTGGATGAAACAACCCATGACTGCCCACAAGGATCCTTTGGTCAGGTTGGGTTGACTATCTCCTCTGACTAAGTAAACCAGGGACCATGATGACCCATGACTACGAAACCATGGGATCTTGATTGGGCTCATCATCACTCCCCTCTCCATCTGCTTTAAGCGCAAAATTGTAAAATTTCTAATTTTAAATATCAAAATTTCAAATACCTAACCATGCTTCTACTATAAGCCAGATACTCTGCATCTGTTTGACAACTAGCCTTAATTAAAAGTTCTCTCTCGTTATCGAGAGGGGTAATTAATTGTATGGGCTTGCACCTATAGAAAACCTAAACTCAGATCATAAAGTACTCACAAAATGAGGGCGAAATCTTTGGGTAATGTTTTATTAAAATCCAATATGCCTTCTTGCCTTTGAACTTACTCGTTAAAACTCTCCTTGATGACCTGAAAAGAAAAAAGAGGGTCTTCAGAGAGGCCGGGATGCGAATTTTTGGATCCCACACATGGAAGCTAAATATCACACATTATCCCCAATATTATATCCAAAACTATTTGACTATGAAGCCTACTTGTTGATACGAGTATTGCTTCTTCAAAGAAAACACCCTTATTTTATGAAAGCAAGAGTCACTCAGCTAGTGCATGATGAAAATTTTCATATCCGTGCAAAAAACACATTGAATTTGACTACTATCATTTAACTTGATAAGATATCTGACTTGGTATGTTTATATGTACTATCATCAGAGCAAAATTTTAGTTGTCTTCACTGTCCTTATCATACTTTACACTCTTTTTTTCTTAACTCATTTGGTATCATGAATTGTGCCACCCTGAGTTTATGGGGTTTCTTAAAAATATAGAAGCTATAATAAGAATGCATGGCTGGCATAAGGATTGTATTTATGATTTTCATAATGATAATATGAAGATATGTATTAGCGTGGAAAGCTTCTTCATGTCCTTTGTTGTATAAATTCTAATTTATATATTTGGTTCTAGTGTAGCAATAATATTTCAAAGCTAAAATCTTCCCCCACTCCCCACTCTCCCACCCACTCACCCTGTTTCCTCTAAAAAAATCGGCTGTCATCTACACATTCACCATTGTTCAAGTTTTCTTTGGCAAGGTGGAATCATTTGTAATATTTCTTATTTATTTGGATTATTTGTGGAAACCTATCTTATTTCATTCCAGGTTAGTGTTGATTATTTGACCAAACCAATTGATGTGTTCAAGGAAATGCAGCGGATACTCAAGCCAGAAGGTCTAGCTATAATGAGGTAGCACGGACTTGTTATTTGTTTGATTCAGTTTAATCTCATCTTCTGTCCATGAAACTGTGGTTTTACTTTTAGAATCAAGTCTAGATTTTGTTTGTTCGATTGCTGTTAAGGTTATAGTTTGCATAATTTGTTTACTATATAGTTTATGCCATTGACTATAAAGCAGTACACACTGCAAATGAAATCTAATACTAAGACATGAGACTATTTCTACCTAAGTTGGGTGTCAGGTTTCCGTTTTTCAAATTTATCTTCGTATGTTTATTTAAGGTTAACTCCTTGTATATCTAGGAAAATGAGCTTGATTACTGTTGTTTGGTGGAGCACCCCTTATAAAATCTGCCTTGCAACACGCAGTCTTCTTCCTCTAGTTCTGGGTTGTAGGCTGCAAGCAGAACTTAAAACATACTAATCATGACATCTTTCAATTTTAGCTGATTCTGACTGTACTACAACTTGGAAATACAGCATGTAAATAGTTTATTCATATTCATATTCATATTCGTAGTGCACAAAGAGTAAACTTCGTATATGCTGATTGCAAGGCAGCTTCTCTAATCGTTGCTTTTGGACAAAAGCCATTTCAATCTGGACATCAACTGGTGATGCTGATCATGCTTGGATTGTCGGCTCTTATTTTCATTATGCTGGCGGATTCGAGCCACCGGTGGTATGTTCTTAAAATTTGATTTTGTACCTTTTATGATTGCTTCTTTTTAGAACCATAACAACTTTATCTTCCATACTCCATTGAAGATGTGCACTGCTTACATTTAAATGGTTGATGCTATTCATTATAAATTTCTTTTCTGTACATTGAAAATGCTGACGGTTTAGGTTTTGCTTAGCACTGAGCAATAGGAGTCATATCCAGTGGTGCAATCGGAGGGATTTAGGTGGCTCTCTTCTACATTTGAGTATAGTTACATATAGCTACGTATGATATGAAATTTTATCCTTAAATTTTCTTAGAATTATATATATTATAGAAGCTTTGTCTCCCTTGATTTGGGGTAATCTATTCTTCTCTTTTTAATTTTAAATCTTAATTCTTTCACTGGTTACACCTAACAAGAGATGGTGTGGGCGTAATTATGATGAATTTCTTCAAATTCATATAAATTTAATATTTGTAACTGGCCTTATGCTCATTTTATGTGTATAACTTGTCTTGTACCCTCCATATATTTGTAATTAGTTTGTGCCCATGAAATGAAAATATGGAATATATTTATGATATATCATCAAAATTGACTTGATCAGGTATAAATCATGATGCATATTTAAATTATAAATTTTCATAATTAAATTTAGGATCATCTAAACTCTTATTTCAGCAAATTTATAGTTAAATTGAATATCTCGACAAGATAAATCTAATGATAATAAAAGTAGTCTGGTCTGAGTCTGAAGTGCAATAGAAAATTTTGGTGAAAGTGTACTACACATCAAGATGGGGGTGAATTACTTTGCAGAAGCTTTAAATACCAATTTTAAATTCTCTTTGAGAAGTATAAAATACAATTCTATTTCATTTTAGCAAATATATCAGAAATCTTTTTTCAAAAATTATGCACCAAGAGTTTAAAATGATTTTTTTTAAAGAACTTAGCATTATTTGGCAAGTTCAAGAGAAACTCAGATTTTCATTCCTTTAATGATATAACCACTACACATAACCATACATAAAATAGTAGTGAAAGAAAATACAAATAAAGTGCAAAATACAAAAGCAAAGATAAAGTACACAAATTGATTTATAGTGGTTTGGCTAACAAGCTTACGTGTACTCTCCAAATCCTCTATTTTGGAATTTCACTATAGTTCTCTGCTTTTGCTCCCAGCAAGTTGGAGAACCCTCTCTCCTTCGCAAGATAATAGGGAAATGATGAGGCAACTTCATTAGTTCATAAGATAATAGGGAAATTATGAGGCAACTTCATTTGTGAAGAACTATGTAAAATCTATGAAAAAACTTGCTAAATTTTGCGAAACAAATTTGTAATATATCTCTAGGGTTTCTTTGAGAATAATATTGCGGGCTCTAAAAATTAGCGCCCTAGTCTCTCGCTTTTTAGAAAAGCTTTATCAATGTTCTAGGTCAAATTTTCAAAGGCAAATTAAGTTTGAGTTTAAGATAAAACACTAAACAAAGATTTCACTCTCATTTTGTGAGAATTTCATAATCTAATTTTAGGTTTTTGATAGGCATAAACAACTATGGTTAATTACCTCTCCTGACGATGAGAGAAAACTTTCAATTAAGGCTATTCATTTGGTAGATACTAGTTAGCTAGCATATAGTAGTAGTATCTTAATTTCATATTTTAAAATTTATCATTCTATACTACTAAAAGCAAATAGCGGATGAAATGATGATGAATCTGATCTTGATCCCATAGTTCTATTATCCTAGATTATCATGGTCCCTTGTCTACTTTGTTAGGAGAGGTGATGGACCCAACTTGATCGAATGATTCTTGTAAGCAATCATGGGTTGCTTCATCCAAGGGTACCTTGTACTATGGGATGGATGTTTGTTTAAGTAGATAAATTTTAATCGACCTTAGCTAATAGAAGATTTTATGTTTTATCAAATGTATCATATGATTCATTACTCAAGGGGCTTTTAACTATTAGGGAACATACGGATTTTGGCTGTGACCATAATATAATTGTGCTATTTTGCAACAAAATCATCCTATCAGTGCCACATCCGTAGTGGTGAGATCATTTGAGCATGAATCATAATGATACTTTCAACAAGACATTTGTTATTTGCAAGAGAAGTTATTCTAAAACTTATCATCCTTAACCATTATAGAGTAGAGTATGGATTGATTTTCGCTTTAAGTTTTGAATAACAATTTTTATTTGAATAATTTAGATTTTATAAAATTTTGAATTTTTCATATTTTTATTGGAATTTGGACTTAAAAATGATTTTCTTTTGAAATTTAGTTTGGCAATTTTTTAAAATAACATCCCTGTACAGAATTCTCAGACGTTTCATTTGTACATTGGTTGAAGCACATGTGGGGTTTAAACATTCTCTTAAAATGACATACATGCTAACTATATTGATCAAAAGATCTGTGATAAAGTTTATTACTGACAAATGCATTCAACAATACTCTTTTTCTAATTTTGTTATGCTAATAATTTATTTATTGACAGCTTACCTTCTTTGTAATAGTCGATGAGAGGCTGTCTTCAATCATTATTCTTTGCAACCATGAAGCAAAATTACTTGCATGCTTTTTTTTTTTAAGGAAATGTCAATTTGGATTTTATTTTTATTTCCACCTGCATAGCATTTTCTTATCTTGTATTTAAGCATTTGATCACTCGTCGTAGCACATGCAGGTTATTTATTTATTTATTTTTTTATTATTTTTTTAATAATATGCACACACTTTTTAATGCATTTCACAAATTATTTGCACATTTTTGTACCATATATTGATCTTTCTTATTTTAGAACAAACATTACACTTTTTAGGTCAATGGCATATATCTCAAAGCAATTGAATATATATTTCAAAGTAATGGCACACATCTCGAGATAATAACACATTTATTAAAATTACGGCATGCATTTTAGAGTAATGGCACATATCTCATGGTAGTAGCATACTTAGGAGACAGCTGTAGTTTTTAGATAGGCATATTTTTTATGTATTTATATTCTTTTTAAAATTATAACACGCTTGTAGGAGTGGTGGCATATTTTTCAAAGCTGATTGTAGTGTATTTCTCGAGATGGCTACACTCTTCAATGTTGCGACATATTTTTTAAGGAAATACACATTTCTTGAGGCAGCTGCATTTTTTTTAGGGATAAGTGCACTTTTTTCAAATTTGGGGAATACTTCTCAGAATAATAACATGCTTTTTGAGGCGTTAGTGAATTTCTCAAAAGCATACTAATTAAGATAATTATGCACTCATCGCATCACTAGCACACTCATCAAGGAAACATTGCATTTGACGATTCAATGGTATGCTAAACTGGATAATTTGATTTTATCTTTTGTTAATGCAATTTAATTATACCTTTTTTTAGATTAAGTTCATATTTTGTATCCTCCCTTTAATTTTCCTATTTAGGTCTGTTCAATCAAAATTTTGGCAGCATCTCAATGTCTCTGCCATATAGAAGGCATTATTGGGAGTGCTAGGCTTGCCCATCACGCCATTAATGATCTGCATGGTCCATGTCACGAGACACTATGGCTAGGATTCTTCTAGCCCATCATGCCATTAAAGACATGCATGGGTCTTTGTCACCTGCACTAGATATTTTTTTTAAAAATATGGATAATATACCTTAACATGCACAAGACGATGATGACAATGATGGTGAGGGTAGAAATTTGAGATGAGGCTGAAAGTAGATTTTGTTTTTGTTTTATGATTTGATTTTTTTTTTTACAGATTTTTTAATTATATATATATATATATGTGGGCTCCGAAAATTCGGACCGGCCTCCCCGCCACTTTTTCTTTTTATTCGGTGAGGGAGTTTTAACGGACTAAATTCTGGGGTAAATTTTGGCAGGCAGATGAGTTTGTAGATAAGACACTACCAAGAGATTTCACCCTCATTTTGTGAGGACTTTATGATCTCAGTTCTGGTTTCCTATAGGCGCAAGCCCCTATAGTTATTACCTCTCCCGATCACGAGAGAGAACTTTCGATTAAGGCTAGTCGTCAATCTGATACGTTAAGATACGTGGTATCTGGCATATAGTAGCAGCATAGGTATGGAATTTTGGAAATTTGAAGATTTGAATGTTTGGAAATTTGAAGGTTTTGTATTTAAAATAGAAAATTTCACCATCTTGCATTTAAAGTGGATGCTGGGGGAATGGATGATAGACCTGATCAAGATCCCATGGTTCCGTCGTCCCGGGCCATTGTGGTCCCTGGTCTACTTAGTTAAAGGAGGTAGTCGACCCAATCTGACAGAAGGATCCTTGTCGGCAGCCATGGGTTGCTTCGTCCAAGGGGACCTTGTAGACCTGGGGTGGATGTTTGTCTAAGGGGACAAATTTGAATCTACCTTAGTTAACAGAGGGCATTGTGCCCTATCGATCATATCATATTGATTCATATCTCAAGGATTTGATGCTACTAAGGAGCGTAACGGCGCTGGCCATAACCGATATTTCGTGGTGCCATTTGGCGGCAAAACCACTCGATTCAGAGGGCCCTGGGTCATAACCGTTTATCCTGCGATGCCATTTGGCGACAAACCGCCGGTTAAAGGACACGTACCACGTCCTTACTGGCAGGAGATTGTTTTGAGAATGGATCCTAGTGATATTTTCGACTAGGCGTTTGGCTCTTTGTGAGCTGAAGTAGTTTTTAATTTATCCACCCCGACAAACTATTGCGGAGTGTGGATGGATTTTTCTTTAAGCATTGACGGATTTATTTCAATTTAAATATCTTGGAAATTTTGGGATTTTCTGGAGTTTAGAATTTGAGTGGACTTTTGGAAGACATTTGAAAGTATTCGTGAACCCCTCCGGTTGAGATTAGCATTCAACACTGCCATTATCGGGGTGTATGGGGTCATTTTCATTTTTGGATTGAACTTTGTCGACTCGGCTGAGCTGTTGACTGAGGATCGGGTTTCTCGTAGGCTTTGTGCCTTTGTTTATGAAATTTTTTGTTAAAGGCCTTGAAGGCTTGATATGAATGTATAAAATAAATATTCCGGTCCAATTCATGACCGTATATTTATCCGATAATTTGAACCCTGTCTACTCCTATTTGCCTGTTTAGGAGGATCGGGTTTCATAGGCTTTGTGCCTTTGATAGTGAATTCTCTTGATTATGGGCCTTGAAGGCCTAATATAAATGTATTAAAACAAATACACCGGTCACCACAATCGTGTATTTGTTCGAAGGTTCGAACCCCGTCGACTCCTATTGATCCGTATAGAAGGATCAGGTTCAAACCTGAATTCACTTATTGACCAGCGCAACATCCCTAGACATCACGTGTGTACTAATAACACGCTCTCCTGGGCCCATGCGGGTGTTTGGGGGCATTTTGTAATTATTTATTGAACCTTGTCGACTTCTATTTACTTGCTTAGGAGGATCGAGTTTAAATTTATTGACCCGCGCAGTATCCCTAGACGTCACGTGTGTACCAATAACACGCTCGCTAGGATCCATGCGGGTTTTATAATTGCTTTTACCCCTTTTAGTGTACCTGAGTGTATATAAACTACGGTGCACATGTGGGGGTACTTTTAAAGTACTTGTAGATGCCTTCTATCCGCTTGCATGAATGTTGCGGATCCGGTGGCGTGGCGTGGTAGATTACAGACGCCGTCTGCTTGTATAAGTGTTACAGATCCGGTGGCATGGCATTGTAGATTATAGATGCATTCTGTCTGCTTGTATAAGTATTGCAGATCCGGTGGCGTGACGTTATAATTTGTGGACACCTTCTGTCTGCTCGTATGAGTGTTGCAGATCCGGTGGCACGCGTCTTGGTGTTGACTCGCCTTTACTTATTCACAGGGGAATTATTCTGGACTTTGAAGTTTGTTGCTTTGAAGAGAACTCCTTTTGAGGTCGTCAGTGTAGTGGACTCATTATTTCCGGTGTTTGTGGGCACCGGAACTGTTCTCTTCTTAAGTATAGAACTTAGAAGAGACTTTGGAATACCAGGAAGTTTGATTCTAATTTGTTCAAACTTCCTTTTTGATTATGCCAGGGAGTGTACTTTTTGTACATTAAGTCGCCCTTGTATTCGAAATAGTTGAAGATCTTGATCACCAATGTCGTAGGTGATATCAATACTTGTGCCCAAGTGGTTCGTTGTACCTACGATATGCCCACTGTTGTTATCCACAAGCAACTTGCATATATTTGCAGGGACTTGTATCCACTACGACCTTCCGGAAATGTTTGCAGAAGAGCCGTTGTCACCTTCACCATATCCACCTTTCACCAATCTCAGGTGGTTTGCCTTGATGTATTTGATTTTGCCTGCAGGGACGAATCTTTGATTGCTATATATGGGTAGGACTCGTACACCTTACAACTGTTCGTTGCTTCTTAATGTATAGTGCATTGACTTTGTAGGAACTGTTGTATCTACTACGAGCTCCTAGGAATGTTCGTAGGAGATACTTGTACTGATGCCCACAGTGGTTCGATGTGCTTACGATATGCCCAATGCTGTTATCCACCAGAATTCATTTGCAGGGGAGCTCCTAAGGATGTTCGTAGGAGTCTGTTACATCGCGCTCGTACATATTTGTGATATGTTGCAAATATTTCACATTTTGCCCACAAATATGTGTCGAACATACAGCGGACCTTCTACAAGGGATCATAGGTATTTGCACTTAATGTGTCAATCAATCACGTTCTTCTTGCACGGGTTCTATGTATTTGTCCTCGGTTGAATGATTGCTGGCACTAGTGGGCATTTAAATTCGTTGTGCGCTACACTGAATACATCCGTAAAAGGTGTTGTAGCTTGATTGACGTCGAATGTGAGAGGGCAATGATGCTCAAACCAGGCACAAGTTCAAGTCCTTTCAGGATCAATTTAAATCAGGTTCATGAGCTTAATGTGCAAGCTCAGTTCTATGTCCTCTGTAGTCTGAGTCTTGTTCAATTTTAGTGCCCTCTACACTTAGTTCCTTTGAATTTGAGTCCGAATGTATGTTCAAATGATTGTTCAAAGTCTTTTGAGGTCTTTTGATTTCAATTGAATATTCAATTTGGCTTGAATTTTGGTTTCAACCTGATTTTATTTCATTTGAATTTGGTTTTTAGAAATCATTTGAATTTTGGTTCTGATTTAGGTCCCCAAGTCTACTATTCTTGTTCGAGTACAAGTCCTTTATAGTCCAAATCAAATCTTCGTGCCAGTTCAAATGTTCGACTTGAGTCCACATCTTTGTTCTCTTAGAATTTCAAAATAGGTCCGAATAGAGTATGTTCACCCGAAATTTCGGCAGTCTCCCGGCGTCTCTCCCGTTTAGGGGAAAACTGGGCCTTTCCCACCACACTAAGAAAAGCGTGTATGGTAGGTGCCCTCTTTTGAGAACACCGCGGCCGTGTAAAGTCTCTGTCCCCACCACGCTAAGAAAAGCGTGTATGGGTCTTCTATCGGTACCTGTTGCAAGAGAAAAAATAGTTGTTTCCCCGCAAACGGGTACTTATGGGTATCCCCACTTCGTCGTACGCACCGCACCGAGTTCCCTCCTACCACACTAAAAAAAGCGTGTATAGGTGGTTAGCCAGCTCGTTGCACACATCGAGGGCAGGATTTGGAACCAAGGGTCGCTCACCTACCTTGTTGTGGGTGTCGCGCTGGTTGCCCCTCCCATCACGCTAAGAAAAGCGTGTATAGACAGACCACCGACTCGACACGCATGCCGAGGTAAGAGAGCAAACAAGGGTTCCAGAAACTATACCTTTGGGATCGGCGGACCGATGGTGGAGAGTACGGATATCGAGGTGAGAGCAACCCACACATTTTTTTATAATAATAGAATAATAGTAATATTAATAATAATGATAATAATAATTATCATTAGTATTAATATTACTATTATTATTATATTTAATAATAACAATAATAATATACCTAAAAATCTAATGCTTGTGGCTTGGAGCAGAATCGGGCAGAGAGGGCTCGGACAAGGGCCGGCTGAACAGCAAGCTAGGGGAGCTCAGAACAGAGAAGGGGGAGCTCGGCTAGTTTGATTCGGCCAGGACAGGAGGAAGTCGGGTATGCAAGGGAGAAAGTTAACTCCACAGCCCACGAGCTCATGTTCTAGTTCCGATCAAAATGTCGGGACTTCCGTTTCGGCAGGGAAAGTCATCGAAGGATCGGCGTCGAAGTCAAAGGAGCGATGTCGGACAGCCAAGGAGCCGAAGAAACAGCTCGAAAGGGAGAAAGTTAACTTCACAGCCCGCGGGATCCTGTTCTTGTGTCCGATCAAAAATGTCGTAACTTCCAATCCCGCAGGGACGGAAAGTCGTCGATGGGAGCGAAGTCGCACAACCACGACGGGGTCGGAGGAGAAAGCCGCACAGGGCTGCGGCTTGTTGGGGTCGGATAGGGAAGGTGGAGGCCGGCTTCAGGTAAGGACCTAAACTCCTCTCTCTCTCTCTCTGGACGGACGGGATTCGGCCGAAGAAGAGCCCGAAAGGAAGAAAGTTAACCGCACAGTGAGCGAGCTCCGTCCGTTGCTTCCGATCCAAACGTTGTAACTTCTGATTCAGCAGGAGGGAAAGTCGGAGAAGGAACGAAGTCGATTAGCTACGCAGGAGTCGAAGAGGGAGAGAGGGTCAGAGAGCGAAGAGGACCCGCGAACAAGAGCCTTCGTGCTCATTTTAACGACGAGAGAGAAGCTCGGCGTGCAGAGTCGTGGACGATGCGACGTTGGGTATGGTCTCGGCATGCGAGCGACGTGGGGAGCGACGTGCTTCGGCAGAGAGGTAAGGGATTTTTATTTTCTTTTTTTTTTGTGCCGAATACAGGTCAACATATGGTTTACTTGAACCTGAGACCTTACCAACAGAAGACGAGCCAGATAAAAAAACATTAATATATTCAAAATTGTTGGCTTGTTTTTCTCACAATTCTTAGTTAATATTTTTTAATAAAATTTTGCAGCATTTAAAAGAAATATTAATTCACTCCTCTTGGGTGTTCCACGTTACACGTTGGACAAAGATGAGATATTAAAACGACATGTGGCAGTGACTATGGGTGTAGACATTGCCAACTTCGGGCGTTGATGTTGAAATGATATTAGATATCCATATGAATCCATAGCTGTAACCCACTCGAGAGAAACAAATATGTGAAGAATGTTTGAGGGATGGTGTATTGAGTGTGCGTGATTTATTTGGTATAGTGGAGAGGAAATAAGAAATTTTTTTATTCTTTTAATAAATAAAAATTAAATATATAAGAAACTATATTTAAAAATAACTAAAAAGAAACATTTAGAGCACACGCGTGAGACACATCTTAGCCATGTCCGATACGTGCTGGAGGCATATTGGAGGTGTGTCCATGTTTGATACTTATTAGATGTTGCATACCTCCTTAAGGAGAAGTACTGGTGCATCATAGATCTTGATAAGACAAATTTAATATGCCTAAATCATTTAATTTTGATATCATTAAGAAACATAAATATTGGATGAATGATTTATGATTGGGGCATCTAGTATGGGTCATTTGATGGAGCATTTAAGATTTTAGTTATATTTATAGGGCATGCTACTCTAAAAAAAATATATAAATAGGCTTTCTCTCTCTATATGAAAGGGACTTGAATATTAGATTGAGATTCAAGCCCGAACCATGATTTGAGCATCATTATCCAACCACTACCATTGGATCACTGCCTTGCCAAAGTTGAACCTATACAAGACCAACATCATTAGACCACTGCCATCCGGCTCTTGCCATCGATCCATCACCCAATCAAACCATTGCCATTGAACCATTGCCCGATCTTCATTATTGGATCACTATCATTTGACAATTGTTCTTTGACTATTACTGTCCGATTACAATTCGCTGATCTACATCTCTCGACTATTGTCCTTCAACCTAAGCAACCCAATTACATTCCACTGACGCTCATATACAGTATTTCTATCTCTTTAGCCTTATATTTATTACTTGACCACCATCACACAACTATTATCTCTGACTGTCATCATATGATTACAATCCTCTAATCACCATTGCACATTTACGATTATTCGACCACCATTATAGGATTACAATCTTGTGACTATCATCACCATACTATGGGTCGCTGTCGCTCAATAATGGTTAATGCAATATTGAAACTCATTGTCTTTGACACCCATACATCATCTCGAGCAACGTCAACATACATCATTGCTTGTAAAGCAGATGCATGCTATTGACACCAACTCTAGATATTTGACGTTATCACCAAGATTAATACCGAATTACATGATCTTTAGTTTACTCTCCTCAAAAGGGTATGATCAAACAAACATATAATCTCTTGAAGATTACTCTTATGCTACAAGACTTCTAATTTTTACCACAATTTATTCTTTAAAATTTATGTTTGTTATACTGCATTAACACTTTTTTTAATCATGAGAAAAAAACATTTGTAATCAACAACAAATGCTCTATAGTCATTTCATTATGGCATCTCTCTTCTTTTTATTTTCTAAATCAAAATTTTAGTGCCATCGCAATTTTATTTTTAATCTGTGTGTTGAATCTTGGTAAAATACAAAGATATTAAACTCTCTCTCTACTACTGCTCTGCTTGCATTTATTTCTCTCCTTAGAAAAAAAAAAAAAATGGCGTGGATCAATTGGTGGTTTGGTACCCATGCTTGAAAATTGATATTTTTGATACTTTTAGGTAGGCCTAACTATAATCATTATCATGTGTTATGGGTATGAATGATTTAGTTGACTTCATTTATAATCACTTATAAAGAAGCCTGCAACTTTCTAAACTTGACGTCAACTTTCCATGGGATCTTCTCTTGCAGGCTGTAGACATATCCCCAAACCCAGGGCACTCTGATCCGATGTATATCGTCTACTCCAGAAAGAAAGCATTTGCATGAGCACATTGAGAGAATACTTCGTTGAAATTTGATTTCCTAGAATCCACTCTTTGTAATGGCAATTTTTAAACAGTTCACAATGGTGTATTAACCTTTTAGATTTGCACTTACTACAGTTTTAACATTAGTGTACTGCCATTGTGTAAAGCAGTAATTATGTTCCACTCTCCTCTGCAACAGCAACTATCCGTTGGCAGCACTACATCCTGCGGCAGCCTCCCTGCAGCAACCTTTCTGCAGTTTACTTTATGTAACTATCTAGGGTAGAATGGACTTTTGCTACTTATCTTTGTATTTAAATCAACCATTGCTACAGTAATCAACATACGAAATTGGAATTCATCCAATAATGAGTCGTCTTCCTCCCATGGTTTTTCTTGCTCACTGTTGGCTTCACAGCTCTTTTATGGTATCAGAGCCGATTGCCTAACGGCATCTTTTTGCTCAAAATGGGCGACTCTTCACCCGTCTCCGCTACCTCCACACCTCAACCTTCCTCACATGAAAATCCGAACAACATAGATGTTCACATACCCCCACCCTCAAATTCCTGCTCTCAAACATCAAAAACGTTATAAACGTTCAACTTCTACTGGACAACTACCCAACTTGGCGGTCAGCTATCCAAAAGCTATACGCTGCCAACAATTTCTCCGGCTACCTTGACGACACCCAGCCCTGCCCTCCCAAACATTTGTTAATTGCCGCCGGTCAGCTCACTCTCAATGCCCAATTTTCTTTTTGGACGCTGATAGATCAAAATCTATCTGTGGCATTGTTCTCTACGATCTCCACAACGATTCTTCCGTATGTGTTGAATCTCGATACCACAGCTTCCATTTGGAAAATGCTGGAGCAGCGTTTCTATTCCACAAACCGGTCTAGAGTAATTCAACTGAAAAATGAGCTTCACTCGTTGTCTATGCAAAACAAGACAATGACCGATTACCTTGCTTCCGTCAAAACACTGGTCGACAACATCAATGTTGTCGGAGGATCCGTCGACAGTGAAGACGTCTTACATTATATCCTGAATGGTTTACCTCCTACGTATCAATCCTTCAAGACTTACATTCGCTCGTCGCTTCATCCCATCAGTCTAGAAAACTTGTATTCACTGCTCCGCAGTGAAGAGGTGCACCAGACAACTGATGCTGTTAAAGAGGTATCACTAGCGACCGCTGCACCTCCCACTGATCCCACACTTGCTCTGTTTTCGAACAGAGGACAAGGACGAGGTCGTTTCAATAACTATAGAGGCCGTGGCTGTGGAAATAGTTCCCCTCGCCCTCATCACGCTCCCCGTTTTGACGGACATTGCCAAATCTGTAGTAAACCCGGACACTCTGCTGTCACCTGTTGGCACCGAGGAAACTTTCAGTATTCCTCTCCAAGCTCTTCTTCGGACGTCGCTCTGCTTGCCAACAACACCAATACAGATTCTGCACCTTGGTACCTCGACAGCGGCGCCACTGCTCATCTGTCGCCCGATCCTCTACCTTCTCAACAACCTTATACTGGTAAAGAACAAGTGCTGATTGGTAATGGCACACCACTCCCAATTCAACACTACGGCAATGGCCTCCTTCCCACCCCCTTCCGTAAGCTCTCTTTAAATTCTTTGCTCCACATCCCTCACCTTACTCATCGTCTTCTATCCATTTCGAAACTCGTACATGACAACAATTGTTCTGTTTTGTTTGATAAATCTGGCTTTGCTCTTAAGGACTCGACGACCAACAGAACGCTTCTCCGTGGTCCTTGCCTTAACGGCCTCTACCCCGTTACTGTCAGCCCTGATTCCACCACTCATGTTGCGGCCACGGCTACCACCACCTTCTCCGACGATCTCTCTTCTACTGCCATATGGCATCGACGCTTCGGTCATCCGCATTCTAGAGTGCTTCAAACTCTATTGAAGCAGCTTGCTCTTCCATCTAGTACTTCATTTATTAAAAATTGTAATTCCTGTGAACTAGCTAAGAGTCACAGGCTTCCCTTCTCTCCCTCTAACCATGTATCTAGCTCTCCTTTACAATTACTGCATTTAGATGTTTGGGGACATTCCCTAGTTCTCTCATATGATGGCTATCGTTATTACATACTAATTGTAGATGATTTTACCAGATACTCGTGGCTCTTTCTTATTAAACTAAACTTTGAAGTTCCTCTCCTCTTAATAAAACTAATTAAGTTTCTAGAAAAACAATTCAATTTCCCTGTTCGAACAATCCGCTCTGACAACGGTGGTGAATTTATTAACTCTACTCTCCAGGATTTCTTCTCCCAAACCGGCATATACCACCAGCTCACCTGTCCGCATAGCCCTCAACAAAACGGAATTGCTGAGCGAAAACACCGCCACCTCATCGAGACCACGCGTACTCTTCTCATCGACGCTTAGCTTCCTTCGCATTTTTGGACCGAGGCACTTCACACAGCTCTCTACCTCATCAATCGCCTACCCTCCTCTAACCCCGTAAAATCACCATACGAACTTCTCTTCCATTGACAGCCGAATTACCACCACCTAAAAATCTTCGGCTACTAATGCTACCCATGGCTTCGTCACTATTCTCCACATAAATTATCCCCGCGCTCCATCCCTTGCCTGTTCTTCGGTTATGCTGCTCAACAAAAAGGATACATATGTTACGATCCCACCACAGGAAAAATTTACATCTCCCGTCATGTTAGATTCTTTGAACAATCTTCTCCCTTGTCTACTATTACTATCCCTGAATCTCCAGTTACTCCCATCACAGAAAATCCTGTTATATGCCCCCTTTTCCTCCTCATACAGAACCTCCAGCTAGTCCCCTTAATCCCACCATATCCTCTACATCTCCAGACACATCACAATCTCTAGCCAACTTCCTTGCTCCTAATATAACTACCACTGCTCCAACGTCATCAGCCTCTCTTCCGACCACTTCAACATCTTCACACACCCGCTCCACCTCTCCTATCCCATTACCTCATCATCCTATGATAACAAGATTTCAAACAGGTTCTCTCAAGCCTCTCCAAATCCTCGATCTTCACCACATTACTGAATCTGCATCTCTTCCCACCTCTTATACGACTGCCGCCAAATCTCCACATTGGCGTCTGACAATGTCATCTGAGTTCAATGCTTTGCAGGCTCAATCAACCTGGTCCTTAGTCCCTCCACCCTCCAATCAGCAAATTATAGGTTGTAAATGGATTTTCAAAATTAAGCGCCTCGCCGATGGATCTATAGCCCGTCACAAAGCTCGGCTTGTCGCACAGGGTTATAAACAGGAATACGGCATTGATTATCTTGAAACCTTCAGCCCCGTCGTCAAATTTCCTACCATTCGTCTCTTCTTAACTGTTTCTCTACATCACAATTGGCCAATACTCCAACTCGACGTCGTCAATGCTTTCCTCCACGACATCATCAATAAAACAATCTATATGGCTCAACCTCTCGGTTTCACCGATCCTCAATTCCCAAACCACGTGTGTCTTCTTCACAAAGCTCTTTACGAACTAAAACAGTCACCACGTCTTTGGTTTTCTACCTTGACAACCTATCTAACAGAACAAAACTTTCACTGCAGCAATGACGACCCTTCGTTCTTCATCCTTTCCAAAACCGACATCACGATCTACATTCTTCTTTATGTTGATGATATACTCATCACCGGGAACAACCCTTCCTTCATAAAATCCTTACTCACAACTCTTCATCAAAAATTTCAAATTTGAAATCTAGGCCCACTTTCCCGCTTTCTTGGGATTGACTTCACCCGCACCTCGACGGGCTTCCACCTCTCTCAACATTCTTACATTCAAGATCTCCTCAACACAGCATCCATGACAAACTGTAAAGCTCTCAACACACCTCTACCAACCAAACCTCCCATTGACCCTTCTCTCCAAACTCCATTTAACTAGCCAGCACTATTCCGCCAGTTAGTTGGTTGTCTTCAATACTTTTCAGACATTGTGTTCGCTGTCAACAAACTTTGCCAACATATGCATACACAATTACTGCTTCACTTCCAAATGCTTAAACGACTACTTCGATACTTAGCCAGCACTATTGATTATACTCTGTTCATACCAAAAACAGACTTTGCTCTCACAACCTTCTCCGACTCAGATTGGGCTGGTGACCACGCCGACCGGAAATCCACCACCGGTTACTGCATCTTCCTTGGCAAATCCTTATTCGCGTGGTCCGTTAAGAAACAGACTACTGTCGCCAGGTCATCCACTGAAGTGGAATACCGCTCTCTGGCCGCTGTCATTGCCGAACTCATATGGCTTTGACGACTCTGCAGTGACTTCAACATACAACTACCTGCAACGCCCGTTTTCTGTGACAACATCTTTGCTCTCTCCATTGCTCGCAATCCAATTTTTCATGCCAGGACAAAACATATAGAAATCAACCATCATTTTGTCCGGGACACCATCAACTCCAAGCAAATCGACGTCCAACACATCGCCAGTAAAGATCAGATCGCCGATGTGTTCACCAGGCTCCACCCGTATCAACATTTCAGTCTCTCCGATCCAAGGTGATGGTTGTCCCGCCCATCACCTTGAGGGACGGTGTAAAGCAATAATCATATTCCACTGTCCTCTGCAACAGCAACTATTCGTTGGCAGCACTACATCCTGCGACAGCCTCCCTGCAGCAACCTTTCTGCAGTTTACTTTATGTAACTATCTAGGGTAGAATGGACTTTTGCCACTTACTTATCTTTGTATTTAAATCAACCATTGCTACAGTAATCAACATACGAAATCGGATTTCATCCAATAATGGGTCGTCTTCCTCCCATGGTTTTTCTTGCTCACTGCTGGCTTCACAGCTCTTTTACATTGAATTAAAGATATGCAAGATTTATAATATTGGTGAGCACAAACCAAGCTTTTTTTTTTTTAAGGGATTGATCTGACACCCCACTATAATTGTTCATACTATTATGTTGGTTGGCTGTTGGGGATGATTTGTTAATTTGTTTCATTTGCGTTTGGTTTTTATACCTTAATATTTGATATATTTTTTATTGCGTCAAAATGATGACGTTCAAACTCGTATTTTTAATATGATTTGCGAATGTCAACCTCGCATTATTAAATATATTTTAAAGTTGATGCTCTTCCGTTATAAATTAGAATCCATCTATTCGTATTAATGTGTATACTTTTGTGAAATATAATTTCAGCACCATATTGAATCGTAGAAGTCTTCCTTTTAACCTACACCCTAAAATAATAATAATAATAATAAATTTGTAGAAATGAAGAAAATTGAAATAAACTTTTTTATTTGTATGTATAATCATGCTAATGTGTTTTTTTAACTAGTTAAGCAAAAATTATATACAAGGCTTGTTTTAGTACATATCATATCTACATTAAAACGTATGTTTTTAATTACTTAAGATTATTATAATAGTAAGTCGAGAACGTAGGTTTTTTCTTTTGTGTTTTATAATAACGTAATACGTAAAAACAATGAACAGATTAATAGTTAAATATTATTTTTAATTAATTTTTTATATTAAAAACATTTAAAAAAAATGAAAAGAATCTAATTATAACTTATAACATATTTGAATTATTCAATCTCAATAAAGAATTATGAGTAATATTTATTATTAATTATAAGATAGTTTTAAGTCATCAATACTTCCTTTGTAGTTATAATTCTTATCGATTAAAACTCAATTCTTATAAAAACTTACATAAAAATGATTAACTTCAAATAAGATTTTAATATTTATGCTATAATCTACAACTCAATAAAAAAAACAAGTTTAAATAGCATGGTACTTGATTCATTTATGGTCCAAATATTTGGCATAAGGCCAGCTATCACCCATTTATGAGCAGGAAAGAATTTTGATAGAGATTTAGTCTGAGACGGTTTTCTTGCTGCTTCTTAAAGCAACTTTTTATTAAAAATTTAAAATTTTTATATAAAAAAAAATTTCTTTAAGAAACAATAAAAAAGCAATCCCAATAAAACCTGAATATCATAATCACTGTGCTATTTGACCGCATGTAAAATCCGGCTGCTGAACGAACTCAATCGTCAGGTTTGGGTTGGAAGTATGAAGCTCGAATATTACCTGAAAAGTGCAACAAACGGTATTTTAAATTTAATTCTCCAAACTTTTCGTGCTTCTTATATGGAACATTTGTGACAAAAACACATTAATATTTTAGAACAAAGCTAAGAATTATTAGTTGGTAAATCTGCAGAAACAGTAAAAGAACTTTGTGTTACGATATGTTTCGAAGCAGTTATATTAATTTCCTTTTTTTTTTCATAGAAAGGTTTGCCACGCTATAAAAACTAAAAGGAAAGAAGAAGAAAAAAAAAAAAAAGCATTTCAGTTTTTTTCTGTTAAAAAGAATTGATTGGCACGTACCACAACATTTTCCCCATAGTGAAGGATTGGCGCTGGAACATAAAGAGTGCATTGGGGCCCCAAGGACTGCGAACAATAGATCAGAACACCAAAAAATAAATAAAGAAAAATAATGTTTAGTATAGAGAATCTGAAAAAAGAAATTGGTATGCATATGAAAAGAAACTCTTACTGGCCAAAATCTTCCAATATTGAAGCTGTTGACAAAAGCAATCCCTTTGCTCCAACCTTTAAAGGATATAAAAGTATCTTTTATCTGGTCATTTGGGTCAATAAAGTAGCGGGCTTCATAGAATCCAGGTTGTGTGATGCTTCCTGTCAAAAGGATGTACAGGATATAGCACTGCTAATAAGCATATTGATAGTTCAAGCATTTGCAATATTTTTGAATTTCACCACATTAAATATTTGGAAGTGCTTAGTACAAATTTTCCTTTTATTGAAAATAATGTCTAGACATCCTAAGAATAGAGCGTTAATGGAAATGGGATGAAGTACCCATATTTTTGCTCCTAGCCTAAAGCTGGATCTTGGAATGAGAAGGGTTTGTTCAAAACAATCAATACCAAAATTGGGATGAAGTACAAATATTTAAAAGAGGTAAAAATGCTCTAGATACCAAAATGCTGAATCGTATCTTATTTTCTCAGTCAATGTTGATAAGGAAAAGCGGTAGCCTACAACATTGATTAGAGAAAAAAACTTGCCTACAAAAATGATGAACCGAAGTAGTCAATCAATCCCAACCGTCGCTGAAATTTGATGTTAGGAGAAAATGAAAATCATTGAACCTTCCTTGGCGGAGGAGAGCATCAAAGGAAATAATGAGAATTCATGATTAAATATTCTCATCCCTCAAAATAAAAAATGAATAAAGAATATTTTTTTAAGAGAGGAAATATAACTAAGTTATTTCGACAAAGCACTTAAAGCGGGTCTTCGACCAACAAAATCTAAGAACCCGAAGAGGTTGATCAAACAAATAATCCAAATTCTTGCCCATTTCATTGGGTAATCAACCACCCTATTGAAGATTGCTATATTTTTAAAGACTAATTTGAAAGAAAATATAAAATAGAGGAATTTGTACTATAAAATAGCATTTGGATTCAACTAAAAAGAGAATCTACAAAGTTGATTACATCCTCTTTCATACCACCAAACTAAGAAGAAAGAATAAAAGAAAATAGCTTCAAGATGAAAAATGAGAGACTGCATCTCAAAGAAAATTGTGAAGGTGCTAAAGCAGTTAAGAGTCTTTGGAGTCGAAAGTCTCCAACTGAATCAATGCTTGAATTCGGAGAAAAACCATGTTCAAGCACATCCATCTCCAAGTCTGACTCAAGGACATTCTAGTTGTACCACCGTATATTGACATAAAAAGCAGTTCTTCAAAGTCCTACCAGAAATGTCAAAAAGGCCAAATAAGCCTAAGATGTCAACGAAGAAGAAGAACATTTTTAATTCAAAAGATTATTAATAATTTGGAGTACTATCACCAACCAATGAAGCAGTCTATTATGCTCTTGTACTTCATGTCTGAGCATCTTTTATGCAAAACAGATGAAGATGGGGAAGAAGAGAGTGAAGATTCACTTTATTTGAAAACATATCGAGTAATCTCAGTTACATCAAATGCCTATCAACGAACTCTTCTTTAAACTAGTCATAAGAGTCAAACCATGGATCCAATGGAAGCCATCCATGAAAGTGAATCCAAAGCTCTGTCTGATAAAAGAAGTGCATCTTGAAGAAGCGACATTTGAGTCCTGTCTGATACAGTTGCATAAGGGCAATAGCTTAGAGGAAGATTATGCTTACTAAATGATAATGAGTTAGAGTCCAAGATGGCGTCGCAAATGGAGCACAAAAGGTTGGGCTATTTGAAAGTTGTTGGCTTAGTCGTTAAGTAGATTTAGAATAGGATGTTTTAGAGGATAGCAGGTTAAAAACCATTGGCTTGTATAGTTATTGGAATGATTCCACCTAGATATTCTAAGGAATAAAGCCTTTGAAGAAAACCACAGTGGCTCTGTAGGCTTCACGTGAAAGTTGCAGGATTACATGTGTAAGAAAGTAGTCAAGTGGAGTTGAAGGCTGCAGGAAGAACTAGGAACCTGCACGTGGGGGAAACTGAGCTCCGTTTGCTGCCAGTATTCCGCTTAAATAGAAAGTATTCGCATATCGAGGAGAATAGGCCTCGGCACTGCCAGAACGAAGACCGAGCACGAAACAGACTCCACCACTGTGTTCAGAACATCCCAAATACTTAGGAATGTCAACAAATTTGTACAAATTAGAGCATACAAGGAGTGCGACATGCATCCCGAGGCAAAGCATGAATTTCAAAGAAAAATTCACTCAGACGCTATCCAAACGACGTCCGATCTCGAAACGGACTATGTCGTTGTGTCCAGAACACCGTCAATACTCTAAATGCATTGTCAATTTGTTCGAATGAGATTGTGCGCGCAAAAAAAAGGTTACCTTTTTCTCTACACGTAAAACTCCAGCTCCTGTTCTCTAAAACCAGCAGCAGCTTCCTCTCCTCAAGCTGGTGGTCTAAAAAAAAAACTTCAGCAAACAAGAATCTACGGAGCTCTCCACATACTGCATTTTTCTTCCACCTAATCGCTCAACACATTTCCCTCTCCAGTTCTTGCTGAAGAAGCCCAAAGCCGCAAGCTACAAAGCTAGCCAGGTAAGTTCATCCGAGCCTTCATTCTTCCTTTGCTCTATTAAAAAAATATACATACAAAAAAAAAAAAAAAACAAACCTGGGCTGTAGCCCGTCAGTCCCTCCTTCAAACCAATTTTCCCCACCTACACCAGCGCAACATAAAACGCCTTAGTAGAGCAGCAAAACCTTCCTATTTAAGCCGAATACTGGCAGCAAACGGAGCTCCCTTTCCCTCACTTGCAGGTTCCCAGTTCTTCCTGCAGCCTTCAACTCCACTTGACTACTTTCTTACACATGTAATCCTGCAACTTTCACGTGAAGCCTACAGAGCCACTGTCGTTTTCTTCAAAGGCTTTATTCCTTAGAATATCTAGGTGGAATCATTCCAATAACCCATACAAGCCAATGGTTTTTAACCTGCTGTCCTCTAAAACATCCTATTCTAAATCTACTTAACGACTAAGCCAACAACTTTCAAATGGCCCAAACAGCAGTCCTCACAACCAAGGCCCACAATAGCTCTATTCCCTGGTGTATCTTGCTGAAATCATTTCAGCAATTTATCAAAACAACCCACTTTATCATCCTAACTCCTATCCAGAACCCAATATTTCAAAGCCCATTAGCCTTCAGCCAAATCTACTTCACAAGTTCACCACAGTCTTCATATAGTCCATAAAACCCACTGTTTTAACACAAATGGCCTTCTCCAAAGACCCAAAACAGTCCATTCCACTAATAAAACCACCAAAATATGCATTGGTTATAGCCTACTTTACAACTTCAGCCTTCCTGCAATCCAAAAACCCATAAAAACCCCACATAAAGCCCACTGCAGCTCACTGTTTCCACCCAAAAATAAACCCAAAACAGCAAGCCCACAACCCATCTTAGCCCATATTTCTCCAAATAGCAGGTTCATTCTAGTCACTTACTCCAGCTCACTAGGAGAGCATTTCAATAGCAAGGAATGTTATTTGCATCAACGGTTAAACACTAGCTAATGAGGCTAACATTGCTAATTTCTCTAATTAGACTATTGATAATTGCTTGTATTATGACTACTAATTTTAGTTATATGTATGTATACATGTTGTTGTTGATCGTTGTATGCATTGCTTGTATTATGACTACTAATTTTAGTTATATGTATGTATACATGTTGTTGTTGATCGTAAAAAAAAAAAAAGAAAAGAAAAGAAAAAAAATTCAGAAAGGGAATAAGGAGAAAGATTAAAAAAAAAAAGAGAGCGGAGAGTTTCATTAAAAAAAAAGAAGAGTGGGAGAAGTTAAAAAAAAAAAAAGAAATAAAAAAAGTGCGTTTGTGCTTTTTTTTTTAAATCTTCGTCGCCGCTTGAACGCAAAAGTATAAGCCTCCTATCCCTAAAACTCTGAGAGCTCGATTTTGATGCTTGTTGCACGACGAAACAACCACCTATACACGTTTTTCTTAGCGTGGTGGGAGGAAGTTCGATTCGATGCTTGCGACGAAGCGGGTAATCACCCGAAATTCCTTCTTCAATGTTTGTGGCGCACCGAAAAACCACCTATACACTCTTTTCTTTGCGTGGTGGGATGGGAATCTGGTGCGATGTGTAAGATGAAGTGCGGATACCCATAAGTACCCGCTTACGGGAAAACAACTTTTCTTTTGCAACAGGTACCGAAGACCCATGCATGCTTTTTTTAGCGTGATGGGAGACGAAGAAAATACGGCCGCGGTATCCTTGTATGAGGATATCTACCATACACGCTTTTCTTAGCATGGTGGGAAGGCCCAGTTTCCCCTAAACGGGAGAGACGACGAGAGTGCCAAAATTTTCAGTGAACCGTGGACAAGACTTGGATAATTACAAGTGACTTGATTTAAATAATCAAATGGATTAAATGCAAACTTGAATAAGTAATTAAAATATTTTTATTTAAATTTAATTTGGATGTTAACCTCTGTGTAAACCACAGAAAATAGGAATAAAATCATGAATACCGTATACAAACCTCGTATTGGTCGAGACGTCAAAATCTTCGCGAATCCGGCAAGAAAACTCGCAAGAAATTCTGCATACCTCGTATACGATGACTCAGTTCAGTTCTCCGAGAATCCTGCCCGAAATCACGCCGAATCGCTGTGCAGTCAGCGTCGTCCCGGGAATCCTGCTCAAATCCTGCGATCCGTAGCTTCGCTCGCGTCCTTAAATACCCGTGGCTCACACAAAGCTTCGGCTGCTCTCCTCCACGACTCTCTCCCGATCCCTCTCTGCTCCCGAAGCTCTACCTTCTCACGCCAAACCCCTGGCTCTCTCCGACTTCACTACCCACACGACCCCCTGCTCTTCCGATCTCCTCTCCAAGCCGAACACCTACCTCCACTCCAGCAGGACGACATAAACCCAGTCCCGATACCTCTCCGACTCCAACCTCATGACCGAACTTCCTCAATCCCGATCTCACCAAGCCGAGAGAGAGAGAGAGAGAGATCCCTACCTCCATACCCGAACTCCCTTCCTCTTCCCGATCCCTGAAGCCCGACGCCTCATCTCCACTTCACGCCCAGCTTTCGATCTCCTCACTCAG